CCCCCCCCCCCCCCCCCCCCTCCGCCCCCAGACTTCATCACGCACTTATCATATAAAATAGTATACGCAACACGTGCGGACAGCAACCGGTCTCACTCGGGTGGCTGCGCCGCCCTCGTGAGTAACCGCCTGCTTTCCGCACTAGTTGCGTAATGTACTATTCAATTTTTGAAAAAAAAATTTCTACTTTTCGATTAATTTTCAAGTATTTCATACAATTGAAACTACTAACTAACGCTACTGAACTGTGTTTGATTAACCGTTTTAGTATTTTTAAATCTACTTACAGTATTCTTGGGGTTTTTAAAATTCTGAATCCCCCCCTTTGGTTTGGAAAGACATCCTCAGCAAAATAATACATGTGGCCGACGGCCATCCCAATAAGGTCGACCCATATCACATTGCCGAGTAGTACGGAGAACCCTAAAAGTACCCAGGGTAACAACGGAGCCTGGAAGACAAATTAATTTTTCGTTTAAACACATGAGTACTAGAAAAGATTGAAATTCAGTAGTCGAGTGGTAAAAGTGATTGTGGAAATATCCACGAAGAGAGGAGAGAGAGAGAGAAGGAAATTTCAGCAGATGTTTTTTGGAGAGAATTTTCTAAGCTGCAAAAATGATCTTTACATTTTTCTTTGAACCTATTATTTTCAAAGACATTCCTAACATAATTTCCATGATTTGTTGTTCCTCACACATTGCTACAGAATTTTATACATTTAGAAGAGGAAGATCAATTCTTACATTGAAGTTCAATAGTCCGAAGAAATTCATTCTAACAAATGGCGTCCTTCTCGACCATACGTATACCAGCATCAGGGTGAATGCGTGTCCCAGGAAAAGTAGGTTAACAAAAAATGCAAATATCTAGAAAAAATTTTGAGGAAAATACGCAAAGGAAGAATTCTTTAAGCCTCTACGGTTTCTACAGAAATTCTCTGGTTCAAATATTCTACATTCTTTTGTATGATTTTTCAATGAGGAGAAAGAGAAATAAAATGAAAAAATCTGTAAACTTGTGGAGTGAAAATTAATGTCCAGGGATTTCTATAGAAAATTCGGAGGATTATCGTTTTGAAAGTTGTATAGAAAGATCAAATTTTATTGATTTAATATAATTTTCTAGCGAATTCGCTAGCGTTTATTATAAAATTTTCCCAAGCATTTATTCATAATTGAAAAGGATACTATCATACAAACACCTCCAAATATGAACATCATTACAAAATCTGCCGTTTTACCCCTAAATGGACCCTCTTCCAGCATTCTGCAGTATCTATACGTGAATATCATATTAAAAAAGAAGTTGAAGCCAACTGTGCCGAAGTATAAAAACGTTGTAATTAATCTCCAGAACTGCAACGGAACAAACATTTTCATTTTTTTTTCCAAATTCATGACTCTCTCTCCAGTCATCCATTAAACTCTAGAATGAATAATTATTGTAAATTTCACCTGGTACTGGTGGACAATCAGAATGGGATTGAAATACAATTGGAAAGGTGAGACCAGATCCAGTTGCTGAAAAAAAAAATTAAAATAATCAAAGATGAAGATAATTCATTTCTGGGGATCCAAAATGACCCTATGCTGAAACAGCAAAGGACATTTCCCTGAAAGAATGCCAGAAATGAATGATCTCTCCAAGTTTTTGAATAATCTCCAATTCCTTTTATCTCAAAATACTTTGCTCATTTGTTTTTTTGTTTGAAATGATAAAAGCGTTGTCATCCAGTATCTTTCATCGGAATTTAATTTTCAGGGATCAAATGAACACAACACAAACTTTTCATATCTCGTTAGGGTTACAAGAAATTCGTAAGAAGCTAGAATAAAAATAATACTTTCAACCAAAACAGAAGCTTGATTTGGTTTGCACGAATAAAATTTTCATATCCACAGATGAATGCTTCCCTTAAGGGTTGCAAACAACTCCATTGAGCCGACAACTCTGCATCGAATAACATGCTTTCCAATTTAGGAACAATCTGTAAAATGCATTCCATTCTCCCTAAAACAATTGTTCTCATTCCTTAGGGAATATAAAATTAAATTCTTGAATAAAATTTGAAGTCGAATTCCTGAATGAAAGGGTCATCATCCAAATGTTTTAACAACAAAAGTTTGACCCCTGCAATCATCTGTGACCTCTTAAGCCATCTCCTCGTTAGTATTTTCCCAGTATACGAATTCCTGGGCCCGGAATGAGACGAAATGTGAAATGAAAAGAATTATTAATTATTCATGATCGACTCTAAAACAAAAAATTGGAAAATCCAAGGGTAAACAAACCACAGCGAGAGTGGTAAGGACACAAGCAGTGGTGTATGCCCTCGTCACCACTGGCATCTGCAAGTATTCCTGTCTTAGCGGTCTGAATGCCATTATCTCCTTATTTCAATTTAATTAAGCAATGCTGTATGTTCAATCGTCACTTCATTCATTCGAATCGCACTGAAACACAAAACACAACAGACGTTTCATGTCGCCACGTTAAACTCTGTTATCTAATTTGTAAAATCATCCACATCATTCAATTCATGTTCCACTATGTTTTCATGGTTATCGGACGATCATCATTTTTTTTTGCCTTCTTGCAAGTTGACACGTGTAGGGAGACAGAGATTATAAGGGAGATTGCTAGCGCCTATGGAAACGCTTCAACCGCAAAAATTCGTAGCGGTGGCGCAGAACTAATTTTGAGTACGTACCTGTAAGTAAAACAGGGAGCGTGTGAGAGCGCCGATAACGGCGCAGAGTGGGGGGAAACGCGTATGGGGGAATCGGCGGGCGGAGCGAGCGGTGATGTTCGATGTCGAGTAGGTGAGGGAAACCTACCGCAGTTCGAAACGCCGACGGGCGGCGGAATCCTGCCCTTAATATAACAATCAATTTCTCCTTCCCTAATGAGGACGAAGGGATGAAACGGTTGCCAATCGATTGAAAATTGAATCCTCNAATTGGATCCTCAACCGATTGCGGCCGTTTCATCCCTTCATCTCAATTACGGGAGGAGTGATGATTATTTGAAGCATGGAGTGAGTCCCTAAACGGCTGCTCCCATTGAAAAATCCATTTCTCCTC